GAGGTTTCCAGGACAGCAGCAGATGAAGGCAAAATAGGGAGCAGCGGTTCATCCTTTTTCTTTTGCACAGAATGGAGGCACGAAGGACATGGACGGGTGGTCAGCCGGCGGTCCTTTTCCGCCCTACCAGTGCCAGTACTGGTAGCGCACGACCCAAAGCTGGACCTTACGACTACCTTCAGATAGTGCTAAGCAATGTGCGGAGCCTAAGGAATAAGATGTGCGAGATAGGTCTGCTTGTAGATGGGTCTCATCCCGATATACTTGCATTCACTGAAACGTGGCTGTCTCGGGACATCACGGACGGTGAAGTACATCTGTCTGGCTACGCACTATTTAGATGTGATCGCTTCGTTGACCGACAAGGCGGGGGCGTTGCTATTTACGTTAGGTGTGAACTTGACGTTTCATGCACCTACATGTTTCAGTCGGCAGATAAAACTGTCGAAGCGCTGTCGATAGTGATTAACACTTCCTCAGCTCAACTTACAGTCGTACTTGTGTATAGAAGCCCTGGGAGTGCGTCCAAAGAGGTGCTTGACTTTATTCGCTCCCAATCCGCAAACAGGCATTTGATACTCGGAGATTTCAATCTACCAGGAGTTTGCTGGGCGGATCTTACTTGCAACTCGGTAGAAGGTACTTTCGGGGCAGATCTACTTGAGCTTACGCTACAAATACTGCTGCATCAAATCGTGGACCACCCCACTAGGTACATGGACGCCCAACTCCCGTCTATTTTGGATCTAGTGTTTACCAAGTCACTAGACTTTGTAGGGGACATCACTTACAGCTCTCCCTTAGGTGCTAGTGATCATGTTTGTTTATCGTTCAGGTGTAGTCTGACCAGGCGTCACCAGAGCATTGCTAAGCCATTTCCAAACATATAGCGTGCTAACTATCAGGCAATGCGTACCATGGCTGCTGGGATGCGTTGCGAAATCTCGGTGGTTGATATGGTTCAGACGGCCTGGGATAAATTTAAATCTTATCTCACGGAAGTGTCTACTCCCTACATCCCGCTTGCGAGGAGAAAGGAGACACGAGCGCGGCCGCCGTGGATAGATACCACTGGCAAGTACCTGCTCCAGAAGCGTTCTAGGTGCTGGAGAACCTACCGTGCGGCTCCATCAACTAGCACCTATGATAGATACCGCGAGGCTAGAAATAGGTGTAAACAACACTTAAGGAAAGCTCGGCTGGTGTACGAAAAGGAATTGGCTGATGGAGCTTCGGAAAATCCGAAGAATTTCTTCGCTTATGTTAAGAGACGCTGTGGTACAACTTCGGTAATCCCAACTTTGATGAGGGCCGATGGAACTCGTGCGTATGCGGACTCAGATAAGGCTCGTGTACTTGGGGAACAGTATGCAGGGGCTTTTGTACGTGAGGCCACGTTGACTAGCCTTGAACTTGTCCACAGAGTACCTGAGGGTTCTTATTTAGCTGAGTTTACTGTGGTGGAAACGCAAGTCCTTAAACTGCTGCAAGAACTGAACCCTTCCAAAGCAGCTGGACCTGATTCAATTCACCCGAAGCTTCTGCATGAGTTGGCGGTGGAACTGAGTGGACCGCTGACGATGGTGTTTCAGAAATCACTTGACAGCTGTACATTACCTTCCGAATGGAAGAGGCTGTCATCTGTCCTATCTTCAAAAATGGCGACAGGAGTCTGTCAGCCAATTATAGGCCAGTTAGTCTGACTAGCGTCGTGGTCAAACTGCTTGAAAAGCTGGTGAGAGATTCGTTGGAATGTCACCTGAATAGATTTAATCTGCTCAGTAGTGCACAACATGGATTCCGGAAGGGGTTTTCGTGTTTGACGAATTTGTTGGTTGCTCGTGAAGTTTGGGCCGAGGCAGTGGACAATGGCCACGTGGTGGATGTGCTTTTCGTAGACTTCTCGAAAGCATTTGATAAGGTACCCCACTTGAGGCTATCACAAAAGCTGAGGTCATACGGCGTATCTGGCCGCGCCCTTCACTGGGTATCTGCGTTCTTGCAGGGAAGAGAGCAGTGTGTACGTGTGGGTCGCAGCTTATCCTTTAAGCAAGCGGTCCTTAGCGGTGTCCCACAGGGCTCGGTCCTTGGACCGATGCTGTTCTCCATCTACGTAAACGATCTCCCTGAAGAGCTTGGGGTATCATCCCTATTGTTTGCTGATGACCTTAAGCTATGGAATGTTGTAAATGTTCCTGGGGGTTCTGAGGCCATACAGCATGCACTGGACAGACTCTGGGACTGGTCTACTTTGTGGCTACTGCCCATAAATCAGGCTAAGTGTTCCGTCCTTCGTATAGGAGCAACTTTCCCGCCTTCGAGCTACGTATTTGGTGGGGTCGAACTCCCCCTTGTCTCCAACCAGGTAGACCTAGGTGTCGTTCATTCCTCGGCTTTGCATTCTGGTGACAACTGGAAGAAGGCCGCTAGTAGGGGTTTCAGAATGTTGTGGTTAATACGCCGTTCTTTCGGGGTCTTAACTGCCGACATATTTGTGAAGCTGTTCTCAGCTTTCGTCCGGCGCCATCTGGAATACTGAGTCCAGGCTTGCCCGCCGTGCCTTGTTCGGGACAAGATGGAGCTTGAGAGGGTTTTGAGAGTGGGTACCAAATTGGTCGAGGGGTTAACGGGGCCATCGTACCCCGAGCGTCTAATAGCTTGGGTATGTATTCAATGCACTACCGACGGCTTCGAGGAGACCTAATCCTTACTTACCGCATTTTAACAGGGAAGGTTGGACCGGACTTGAGCTGGCTATTTAGCCCGGCTAGGTTGCCTTGTCTTCGCGGTCGTCCCATGAAGCTACACAAGCCGCGTTCTGACCGGATCAGGGCGGAAACTCGGTTATGGCGTAGACTTGTCGAGCGCTGGAACTCGCTTCCAGAAAGTGTAGTCAGTGAACCTACGGTTAAGGGTTTCGAGCGTCAGTTAGATGCTCTTGGGTGGCAACACGAAACCTTTCCCTTCTCCTGACCATATCCATCTTCAAACTTTTAGTTCTTATTCTGTCATTCTCTTTACTCTTTGGTGTTATCCTTCATTTTAATGACTTTCATTCCCCTTTATCTTCCATTTACTTTCTACTTGTTTCTTACTTCACTTAACCAGCTTCAAACGTTTTTGATTCCGCTCTTCTAGAGACGGTTATCGAATGTAACTTATTCCAACATGTCACTGCGCCTACTCGTATAATTGCAGGACAAACACCCCATATCCTCGACCTTGTACTCTCACCGGCACAATCAGATGTCACCGACTTAGCCGTTCTTCAGCCTATTGGTAAAAGCGATCACTGTGTCATTACATTCCTCTGGACTCGACGACTTACTCTCCACAACCAAGGTCGCCTCCACAGAAATTTCTGGCGTGTTGATCCCCAACGCTTACAAACGGCTGCCAGTAGTGTGGACTGGAGTATGCCCGAATCCCTGAATTTGGACGATGAGTGGAACCTCTTGCACTCCAAAATGATTTCGCTTGTTGAGCAGGTCGTTCCTGTCTACAAAAGACCCTTTGCCAGGGGTCCTCCATGGAATGATCGAGAACTGAGGTGCCTAATGAACAAAAGACGGAAACTGTGGGTCCGATTTAAGCTCACGCAATCCGGGTCTGACTATTCGGAATATAAAGTGGCCAGGAATATCTGCAACTTGAAAAAACGAGAGAAACGGCAAAAGTACGAACTCGGTTTGGCCTTGAAATCCAAGACATCGCCCAAGGCACTCTTCTCTTACCTGAAGAGAAGTACCAGAGCAGGCAGTGGTATTCCTGCTCTGTATTCCTTGGCTCATGTGGGTTTGCTTGACGATGATGCTGCGAAAGCCAGTCTCCTGGCCATGCAATATGCATCTGTTTACTCGATGGAGACGCCGTTTCCCAGTGACGCGATGCCAATACTCCCTTCTTCGTTGGAGCATGTAGAAATGAGCGCTGATGTCGTTGCCAAAGGTATTCGTGAATTAGATCCGAACTCCTCGCCAGGTCCTGATGGGTTGCACCCGCTGTTCCTCAGGACTGTGGCTGATTTCATTGCCGCTCCCGTTTGCCGGATATTTCGACATTCCCTTGAAGTTGGACGGCTCCCGATCGCTTGGAAAGTGGGGATTGTTAAACCCATACACAAAGGAGGGGATCGTCAAAACCCTGCCAACTATCGACCTATCTGTTTAACGTCAATATTGTGCAAGGTAATGGAGAGGATTCTCAAGCGGGCACTTCTTTTCCACCTCGAGAACCTTAACGTCATCTCTTGTGCGCAGCATGGTTTTCGGCGGGCGCGCTCCTGTTCTTCGAATCTGCTTGTGGCCCGTGAAAGATGGGCGAAATCATTAGACGCTGGGAAACGTCTGGATGTTATTTTTGTCGACTTCAGCAAGGCCTTTGATAAGGTTCCTCATGAAAGACTCCTTTACAAACTACGATTAATCGGTGTTTCTGGGAACGTTCTCTCTTGGATCGCTGATTTCTTGGATAACCGGACAATGCGAGTCGACGTGAACGAGACTTACTCCGCTCCCGTGCTCATGACTAGCGGTGTCCCACAGGGATCGGTCCTGGGCCCAGAACTTTTCAAGATCTTCATCAATGACCTTCCGGCGGAACTTCAGTTGGATTGCTTGATTTACGCTGATGACTTGAAATTGTGGATGGAGGTATCCTGTCTTGACGAGGCGGACCGATTACAGGCTACACTTGACACGTTACATGAGTGGTCAGTCAAATGGCGATTGCCCATAAATCGCGATAAGTGCTCGGTCCTTCCCATTGGTGCTTCTGAGCCTTTCGGGACGTATCACATCGGTGGGACGTTGCTCAGAACCTCAATCCTAGAAAAAGACCTCAGCGTGTTGGTGTCATCTGATCTACGGACTACACAGGACACGTTACGAAGGGTTGCTGCTGCCAACAGGATGTCCCACGCCATACGACGAGCCTTCTCGCGTTTGACTCCGGATATCTTCCGACTATTGTTTACTTCCCATGTCCGCCCCATTCTCGAATACGGATTACCTGCCCTCTTCCCTCTCACCAAGTTCGAATGTGACCTAATTGAGAAGGTGCAACGGCGTGCATCGAAATACATCTTGGAGTTACGGGACTTGCCTTATCCCCGGAGACTTCAGCGGATGAATCTGTTCACCCTGGATTATCGCCGACGTCGCGGTGACCTGATTTTCACCAGGCGCATCCTGAGAGGAGAGATGGGGACGGAGCTGCAGGCGTGCTTTCAATCCAATCCAAACAGTTCAACTCGAGGCCACAACTGGAAACTGTTTAAACCCAGAAGACTTCGGATTCATCCTGCTCTCGCTCTATCAACTCGCGTAGTCAACGATTGGAATAACTTGCCGAAGTATGTGGTCGAGGCCCAGACGGAGGAATGTTTCAAGCGAATGTTAGACTCTTATCTTTTGAGTACGATGGGTCCTTGCAGTTTCCAGTGTAGCTGTCAAGGTCCCTTGTGGATTACCGCATAACATCGAATCGCGGCCTCCACACAATGATCGGGAAGCGATGGAGCTGACAAAGGATTTCTCCTTCTGCTCTCTACAATCCTATGAACCTATGAACCTACAAGCGGGGAATGCTAGTTCAGGGAACGTGGGCAGTAACTGGTTGATTAAGGTGTGCTTCGGGTGTTTCGTTTTAGATCGATCAAGAA